CACACACACACACACACACACACACACACACACACACACACACACACACAGGCTTGTGAGGCACGCTACAGTGGCTTGATTAGATTGGCACGGGCTTGTTTTTGCAGTCTCACTATGCTTCCATGTGTTTGTGTAGGCTTTTAGTTGTAGGCTCTGCAAACAAACTGTGACACTGAACACCGCAACTGGGTAAAATGAGCTGAACACAACCTTCAGCTGAGTTCAGATACTTTTATTATTTCATGTTGACATGAAAGATGAAGCTCTTAGAAAGAAACGGTTGGACGTACATCCTTTTTGAGTCATCCTGATCCAAGACGGTCTCCACATCTTATCAAAACAGAAATGTTCARAACTCAGTCAGTTTAGCAGATATTGAGATAAAATGCGGTGTGGCAGAAGCTAAACGCCATACCCATCACATACTCAGAGCACTGACAGATTTCACAAGATAATTGTTTAAAACTTTGCCATRTACTGTTGTAGTCAACCCTATCTGGCTGTTAGCAAAATATTTCATGAAGTAATCATTGCATGCACTATTACAAAGGATTAACTTTTGAAGACRACTTGYTWCAAGATAGTCGCCACCAGGGCWGAYCCGTGGCATACAGGCAGTATAGGCACAGGCTAAGAGCGCCATTCAGCTAGGGGGCACCACAAATGGAGAATGACACAAAATTCTTAAACTTTTTATCRAAGTGTAGTTGATTTAGTCAGTTAAAAAAAAAAAAAAAGAAAATCACGGATTACTCAGGTTTATAAAGGTAACTAGTTCTGGGTTTCTCAGCCTGCTTTGTTACTACATGACTTGTTTATGAGTTCATTACTACATTTCTTACAACTATTCAGTTTGTATGTAAAAGTATGTAAATTGGCAGTGAGATTTAGAAAATTGCWCAAGGRAAGCCACTTGAAATCTTGCCTAAGGCGCCAAACTGGCTAGGGCCACAGTGGCCACAGGTGATCAAATTATGCAAGCATAAAAATTGCCGAACCTTAATAAATTTTACAGAAAGTGAGCTAAATTTCCATGTGGTAGTAGATGAGATCCATCTTAAAYACATTCTTCAAGCACTGAAAAATCAATCAAGAACTTTGTTAAAATATTTGGTACAGAGGTGGGATTAATTAATCCCTTTAGGGARTCTTAGTTTGATTCAGTAAATAGGCTATTTGTTAATAGCAAGTGATTATTTTAGAATAAGTGCTATGGTATTTAGTAAAATTTTTGACAGTAGGCTGACACTGATTTAATTTTTTTGTTGATCAATATCATTTTGAAGATCAAGAATGGTATCCTGTTTTAATCACAATTCCTACAATTAGCTGAAACACCAGAKAGCCTGCAGGACACTTTAGAATAAAATGTGATATTTGTAAACAAAWATAAACACTGGGAATGTTTTATACTTAACTGTGCTATCTAGTCAAATGCTGAACAGTTKATATGCTTTTGTTTACACACTTATATTTTGAATAATTATAATTTTTTTTGCAGCAAGACACAATTAAGTGGGTTTACAACAACAATGAGAGTGCTGAGGAGGAAAACCGGAAAACTAACCAGAAACCCACCCCTGAGGAGAACGGAGACGGCTTTGACTGCAAAGTAGAAGGTGACCACACAGAAACACTCAAAACACACTGGAACCAACCGTTTGCGAAATAAAAAACAGTCGAGATGTTTATGGATGTAAAACATGCTTGTTCACGGGAACATGCAAACTTTTGCCGATAGGAAGTGAGATGCAGCTCCAAACAGRCTCATCTGGAATGTATCAGTTTGAAAACAGCCACCTCCTCTGGCTCATCAAGTGTTAATTACACCCAACAATTTATAGATCCCAGTGAGAGAGTGAAGCAGGAAAGCAATTCCCCTCAGAGCAAATAGCTCCGAAGCACAATTTATTGCTGTATTAAGTCATTGCATTAGCATAGGGCTGGTTATCTAAGTGCTGTTGGAATTTGCTCATCATTTTTATGTGGGGGTTGATAGAGGGAATCCATGAGCAGAGGGTCCTTCTCTGAAATTAGGTACAGATTTGGTGGTCTTAGGCCCTCTTCTGTGTTGAACGTCATCTTGAAAACACGTGGCAGATTGCAACAGTGTTTATGCATACTGTATGTGCTGTCTTGTTTGTGCGGACGTTGGTAAAAATATCTTACGCCAATGTTTTTCTTCCCCCGGCTTCAGAAGTGATGGACAAATTCAATACAATAGCCATCATTGATGGGAAGAAAGACCACGTAAGTCTGACCGTGGACAATGTCCACYTGGAGTACGGCGTGGTGTACGAGTATGACAGCACAGCTGGCATCAAGTGCCACGTTCTGGAGAAAATGGTTGAACCGAAAGGATTCTTCAGCCTCACGGCTAAGGTACTTTTTTCTGTTCCATTTATGTGACTTAAYTTCAGGTGTTTTCACACCACRAAAGTCCTTTGGTCAACTTGTTTGGTTCAGGCTAAAAGCGGACTTTATTTTTTTCAGTTTGGTGCAGTTTACGTCACATTATGCTTTTGTGCAAGACTATAATTTATAAACAAAGCCATGCGGRTGRCAATCRTTGCTCCCATTGGACWRAAATGACGGGGGCTAATACATGAGCAATACTATTTAGAATTTCAAGAGCAGCTCATTCAACATCGGTTTTGTGATGATACACTTCTAATTTTGGGACAAAGTTGGTAAATGYATGCCGCAACCCAAAGGAGACAAGATATTCTGCGTTCCTTGACCGACAACGGCTCATTGTTTTTAACACAATGTTAGCGTTAGCAACATTGAAGGGCTAATTGTTACCTTGTTGCTTAGCAATGGTGTCTCAAGAAGTCCAAAAAGGTGCATGCATGTTTCCTGTAGTTGGTTTGGTTTGAGGTCGGTCTGTATGCACACCAGAAGCGAACCGCACCAAAGTTCATTTGGAAGCGGACCGAGACCACCTCAAAAACGGGTCTCAGTCTGTTTATTTGGTCCACACCAGGGCTCGCATGAGTGTATTCACACCTGATGAAAGGTCCGGACCAACGGGGGAAATGAACTCTGGTCCGTTTAAAGCGGACCAAATGTGTCCWCCGTTGGAAAATGATAGTTGGCGCAGCAAAAACTCCACCAACAGCAGTTTCTGAGAGAATGCAGCAATTTCCACTGCACTGCATGTGTGATGACACTCTGATGAATCTATAAATGAATTGTCAGTCTTTGTCCTTAGGCACACCCACAGACAGCAAGGAGTCAGGTTTCGTCTCACAACCCTTCTTTGACAGACTTGATCATTACATCAAACTGTATCAGACAAGCTTTAACAAGATGATGTCACTTGGAATTAAAAATTGTGACTCTTTGCTGGGGGGTGTCTGCGATGCGTATTCTAAATATCTCGCTATGACACTAAAGCCTTGTTTTTTTCAAAAACTTGCAACAAACTGGACGTTAGCATCTCTGCTGGTGGTTCTGTAAAAATAACAACMTATTCAGACATATGAACTTATTGTTTTGACACTGATATAGTTTCAAAGCCATTTGTGTCATTTTTTTGTGGAGTTATCTCACACAGGTTCTGTAATATTTGAATGACAGTGGAGGAAAGATTCATAATAAACACAAATATAGTAAAGCTGAATTTTTTATTCCTATTTTGGTGGCACCTGTAGCTCATTTCAGCACCTGGGTCTCTTCGAACTGCTTATTTCCTGTTAAACCCTAGTAAAGGTTTTCAACTAAAAATAGCATCCAGAATATAACTCTTTGTTGTTTTTAATAATTGTTTAGTTTTGTCAGTTCAGAGAAATAAATAGAGAAAATAGCACAATAAATATTTCTGATTATTTAGATAATAAATACTGGTGTTTATTATTGCAGGGCTGTCCCTTTGTTAGTTCAGGATAACATTGAGGACGCAAACAATAAAAAAAATACATAAAACTGATTCTGCCTCATCAGGCTAAGGAGAAGAATAAAATATTTGCTGCTTTGGTATAAAGAAAATGTCAGTGATTTTTTTAATTAATCTACACGRACTGATAATTAAAATAATATTGCCCTGCCTCTAATAAAAATCAAAACACAAATTCAGCATGAATCCCCAAGGTATTTTCCTGGTCTGTGAGTTCCTCAGCACAGTTAAATCCACCAGCTTTTTTTTTCTGGATGTGTAGACCGATGGGTTTGAAGCTAGTTAAAGCTGACAGCTTTATTTCAGTTCGCTTATTTCCCGCCTGGCTTAAGAGCATGCTTTTTGCTTCCCAGCAGTGATGTTTACTGAATGATCATTATTGATTTAGGACACACAGAGGACTGAAGATCGACTCAGACGTGAAGAGCCACGCTTGGTGAAGTAGGGGAAAAAAAGCACTTTCTGCGTATTTCTGCCAGATCCCTCGTGAAAGGAATCTGTCTCTCTTGTAATGCATTAGTCGAGATCAAATGTGGGTTCATGTCTGGATCTGATGGAGATTTACAGCAGTTCCTTGCAAAAAGCTGCATCTTAAAAGAAACCTTACTGACATCCACAAAAGCATAACTCATGTGCGTATGGACTGTTTCCAATTGCTCCAAAGTGAAAGTCCTTTTATTAATATAATGAACATCTGCTCCAGCCTCTTATGTTGTCCTCTGAGACTTGCATGTTTTTTAATGTCGGTAACACCATTTTGTGCCGTAGTCTCKTCCTGAARCTACGTTTTTCTCTCCAGCTTCACTTTCATTTCAAGTCTCAGAGATTCAGCTTCCTGTTCTCATCGTATCTAATCTATGATCTGAACGATCTCCATGACTTTATGTATACCACATGAGAATTTTATATATTCTACTTCAAATGCCTGTGACATATGAAAAAGAATCGCTGCAGGCAAAAATGTGTTTTGTTTTTCCACTGAAAGGGGCTCTTGATTGTTCATTAACAGCCTGTTTTGTAGCTTCCGGACAGTATTTAAAGGYGTTTTCTGATCCTGGTCTCTGTTCACCTTTCCTGTGACCAGATCCTGGAGGCGCTGGCACGTAACGATGACCTGCTGGTGCAGATGTGCGGCAGRTTGAGTTCCAGCTGCGACGTGATACCTGAGGAAATACAGGTACGCTTCAATGCCATGTGCAGTGAGAGGGTGGAGCACATCAACCGACGCATCACCAACTACAGAAAGGTAACTCTCYGGGGTGGCTTTGATAGGAAACAGTAGGAACATTCATCTGTTGTTCGAAGCAAGTTTTCCTTTCTTCTTTCCCACTGAGGGYTGTATTTTTATGCTTTATGGAAAACCTGGAAGTATTTCGTTGTAGATTTAGCTTTTAAAGATAAAAGATGCTCAACAAAGCAATATATTCAAACTAAATAAACCCTTATCCCCAATTTACACTGCGTCCRCTCCAACTYAAAAACATGTACAATAGGTTGCCTTCAGTTCCAGGCCACCCTTGAAAAAGARATCTGTGATCTCAATRSAACTTGCCTGGYTAAATAACAATAAATAARTAAAAACTCCGGCACAACATTTGCAGTAAAACCATTATAATCAATGAGAGCAATTACACTGCGTCCGCAGGGCAGCACAGGGAGGTGGCGTGTGTATTTTTAAAATAATTCACCAAAGGCAGACTACACTTTGTTGAATTTTTTTACACCTCCTTATTTAAATCAATTTCTAACAACCCCCAACCCCAATATACAATACCCGTTCCTCGAAATTTATTAGATGGAAAATTCCTAAAASCAAGACTTCTTTTGGCCTTATGTCTTTCTGTTTCACTGCTGCAAAGGATTAAAAATTTTGTCAAAATATACTGCATTTTGACACTTTGTGTTTAAAAGCAGGAAGAGAAACAGACTAAAAGACCTTTGTAAGGTGTCATGTAACTGTTTTAAAGAACAAATGCATTGCTTACTGTATATGTTGAATGTACTGTATATGCTGTTGCCCTTTCCCCATCTTCCCCTTTTTAAGTGTTTTAGCACTTTCAGGCTAACATTGTAAAGAAGAAATTGTTCTTAATGTTTTGCTTGGTGAAATAAAAGTTTAAAATAAATAAAGAAAAAAGAAATCCTAGCTATATTAATAAATATATGTTAATGCATAAATGCTGTCAAAATGTATCATTCTGTTTGGGAAGCAGAAAAAGACAACAGATGTAGTTTCAACTGTTCTCGTCTGTCTTCCACAGAATTAATTAATTTGGTTGCATTAGCGAAGCTGCACGCAGTGTAAATCAGGGTGGAAATGAATGGCAGTGAAATGTGCGGCAGAGCAGACTGGAGCAGGGCCGCACGCAGTGTAAATTTGGGGTTAGTATGTAAATTTATATTGAAATTWAAAAAAATCCTCTAATGAAAAATGCTACAGGTACAGAAATGTGTGCGGCTGCTGCTGGTCAGGAATCCTTATATTTTCACCGATGTAATTGGTCAACGTGGACTGGAATGTTTTGCAGTAAAGCTGAGCGACCATAGTTTCCACTTTGTAATCCTTTCAAAATAAACTACTATGTCATAAAGATGCTCAAGTACAACAGCTCAATAAACAGAATAAATATAAACCACTGCTTGTTCACAAGAATTATTAAGCTAAAATGTTTGCCTTGGACTTCTTAAACTATCATGCACTTTATAAAAACTCCACAAACTTTGTAAGGTAGATGGCAGCGCTTTCATTTACAGAATCCAGAATGGTTTTTATCATTTTTCTTTTTCACATCTGCAAGCATGTGCTCATGGGCCAAACATGCCAGTGTGCGTGTGAAAGAGGAAAAGATCAGACTTAACTTGGATTAATTACCACTTTATAAATGTCCCTGCATAACAGCCAGGAATTTAGTTGTGAAAGAGCCCCTCATGGCGCAGAGYCTTCCTCCTCGAACCTCTGAAGAGAGAGAAAAGAGGGTCTGATAAACGAAGAGGAAGGAGAGCAGGGGTACGTTTGTAAAGGGAGAAAACATGAAGAGGATTTCAGAAAAAGAGGCCTGGAGGATCTGAGACAGATGTCAGGGCAGCTCCTCTCTACTTAGATGCCACACGCCCAACGCTCAAGCTAACTGAGATAAAGAGGATCATACTTTTCTTATTTAAAATATAAATCATGTAATAGTCTGCTTATAATATGTTGCTCCAGATGGGAAATAACTATTGAAAGATGACTCTCCATCTCCCTGTAGATCATGTTTTACTCACAGTATCTGTCTAAGAAAATGGGATTGAAACATTTGGTTGAGTGGAATCAAAGATTCGTATTTTTGAGCCACTCTGGAGAATATTTGTCGTTATTATGTTGTACACACAAGAACCATGTGTTGATCATTTATGTACAATTCAATTGTAGCGTTTAGCAGAAAACATGCTTGATATCCCTCTGGAAAATATAAATCCACAGCTCCTCTGCAACAAATTCGAACCATGAAATGACATTCTGGAAGTTATCAAAGCAACACGTGAAAAGTTACAATCTCGACACGAGCTGCTGGGAGCAGGTTTAAATCAGCTGGAGCGATGAAAGGCTGTGTTGACGTTTTTCCACATATGTGAGCAATGATAATCTGATGAGCTGGTCTTGAATCTTAGATTTTGTTTAAACTTTTATTCTGCCACACAGGAAAGAGGAATGTTAGACGTGCTTTTAGAAACGGGTGTTTTTTTTTTTCTGGAAAGTTTACAAGAAAAATATTGTTGACAGGTACTCCTCCTTGTGTTTCACCGAGCTCCTTTAAATGTCCAACTCTGATGCACATTAGCTAAATAATTCAAGAGTTCAGGTTGAATAATATCACAAACCTCCTGTCAACGCACAGCTTTTTTCTTTAAAGGGGCAATATTATGTGTTTCTCAGGCATACATTTAATTACTATACCATAATAAAGTATCTAGTATGTCACCTTTAGTTGTTAAAATGCTGTTTTTATGTTAAAATAGAAAATAAACTTATCTTCTCATCACTTCCTCTTCAAAACGCCTTGAAATTGGCCTCTGTCTCTTTAAGAACCTCTTTCCGCTTCCATCCCGTCCATTTCAGTGTGCGCGCGGGGGGGAGGGGGTGTCGGGTCACGCGTGCACTATGATGCAGTTTACTTGGCATCTGAAAATACATTTCCTCTAAGGTATTTTGAACCTAAAAAAAAGCTTCGAGTGAGAAGTAGTGTTAAGAGCAGCAGACAATTTAAGTTTCACTTTCACTCGTTTGCTCTGTTACTGTCGAGAGCCTGCAGGAGTCATGGGCGGGGTGTGTGGGGTKGGGGGTGGGGAGTTGTGCTCCATGATGAGGAAGCTCGGCTTAAAGACACGTCCCAGAGGTGTTTCTGTTCCCAAAAGGCGTTTCTGGTCCCCACCTGTCGTTTTGCTCCTCAGCATGGCTTCCTAAAAACGCTGCAGGATTTCTCAAACATGCATGAATGAGTCAAAGCAAGGCTTTGGACATGTTTTTTATGAGAGTATAACATTGTAACATGATATGAAACTCAAAAAAGTTGATTTTACATGATATTGCCCCTTTAAATCAGTATTGTATAGTGTCTTTATCTTTGTCCCAGTTTTCTAGGGTGCTAAAGAACAGAGCCTGGCCCACCTTCAAGCAAGCCAAGGCCAAGGTCTCCCCCCTCCACAGCAGCGACTTCTGCCCAACAAACTGCCACATAAATGTGCTGGAGGTGTCCTACCCCAAAACCACCACTTCTCTGGGCAGTGCCTTCGGCGTGCAGCTGGACAGCAGGAAGAACRCTCCGGAGAAGAGCAGGCGCAGCTCTGCGGAGAACGGTGAGAGTGATGCAGAATCAGCTCACGTATCTGTCGAGCTTCACAGACCAGAAGCTTTACTGACGACCCGGGTTTCTGTCTAGGTAAGCTGAACCCCACGGTGAGTGTCCAGCATACCATCACCACCATGGCCGCTCCTTCTGGTCACAGCCTGGGTCGTACAGAGGGACACGGGCTTCGTTTTCTCCTCAGAGAAGATGACCTGCTCACCCTGGATGCCTATCAGAAACTTCTTTATAAACTCACTGCTGCTGTTCAGGAGATGGAAACGCACGGTGCTCACATTCATGAGTGAGTAGCTTTTCATGCTTGCAAACTCTGCGTACTTTAACTATGTACAGTAGCTGGGGGTGCTCCATTGATGAACAGAAATGGACAGTTTTTTTTACAGAGAGTTAAAAGTCTCACAATGGAAGAGTGCACAACAAGATTCAAGCAAACACATCAGTAAAATTCTGAGTATTTACCTTTAATGTACAGTCCACACAAGAAATACATAAAAATAAGGTTATTTTAAAGTTAAATTATGACATTCTTCTACAAAAATTACTAGAATAATTTATTTACCCGTGTTTCTCTGCAAAAACCTTAAATATAATAGAAAAATATAATTTCCTGTATTGTTTTTTCTTTATATGTGGACTGTAGGCTACATTTGAAGTAAACTAAAATAGTTAGGTTCTTTTTCTACTAGAAAATATATTTATTAGTAAATTGTCTGTCTATCAATCTATCTAATGATCTATCGATCGATCAGTCGTAATTTTACCACAAAAGCATTACATTTGTGGACTGTATAGGTGAAATAAATATCTCTAAAATGTTTTTTTTTTTGTGGAAAAAATATTGGGAAAATATAATTTTCCCGTAACATTTTAGGTATAGTTGGGTACAATAAACAAATTGTAACATTTTTGGAATGCAGTAACGTTAATGTGTTTTAATATACTCTAGGTTCATGAGCTATTGTGCCAAGTCAGAAATGCATTTTTCCCAGTTACCAAGTAAATGTGATAAAGCTCAAATTTCCAAGGTTTTCACCAGCTTTGAATGCAGAATTACACATGTATGTCTTAAAAGTCAAATTCACAAGCGAGCAGATCCGTCCACTTGTGCAAATCTTGATCTCTCGAATCCTGATGTGACCTGTGCTCCCACTGTGAGACACATTACTCTCCATAGTTTTCATCTTGACAGGTGATGGAACAACTAAAAACTCTTTAATTTTTTTTGCTGTGGACTGTAGACACATTTTATTGTTGCATTACAATGTGATGATTTATTCAAAAACGAGCAACTATCATTCAATCAAATTGTAATTCAAAGACATTCTGTATTAAATTAACTTGAAATTCAAAGTTTCAGTTTTAAATRTACTCACTTAATACACAAATTGTGAAACATTTCACATCACTTTCATATCAAATAGAAKTTGCCGCAGAACACATCCTTGTTTGAGATAAAACACTGAAACTCCTGCAGCCTGACGGGTCAGTGTGCTGCATCTGTTGCTGGTTGAGAATACATTCTGGTCATTACTCGTAACACCTGTCCAGGCAYGCTATGCTATACACAGATGGTGGAGGAAAAGCAAAACTAATTGAGACCATCTTTCTTTCTAAAAACACACGCTCTTGCYACGTTTTTGTTCAGGATTTTAACCTTGGCAGGGTRTGTATGTGGACTGAATCAGTGCTTTCTGTTGGGTCACTCTGTATTCTGCGCGGTTTTTCTGCGTTTGGCACGCATACGAGGTTCATTGTTCGGCAGCACACGAGGCGCCGGAAAGCTTCGCTCCTTGCACCTCCACCAGGCAGGAAGTAACATCTCAATGAAGATGGGTGTGAAATGAAGCCAGGGGCTTGTCTGGAAAAATCCACTGATAAATGGACACTTCCACAGCACCAACAYGGACGTTAAGCGGTATTTGATATTTCTGTCAACAGCTCACTGATTACTGTATCTGTTAGGAATCTTATAATCATCCGGTTGATTCTTAAATCAGAAAGCGATGTTAGACRTTGCTAGATGATGCTGTCACCTCACCGTTGTAATGATGAGATGAGTCCACAGCAGAGCTGGTAATGACTGAGTCAGGACAGAGTCTGTCATGCTCCTGCCACTGCCAATTAGCTCGCTGGCATCCTTGCACCCTGGAACGGTCCAAGGCACATCTAGTGAGGCGATAATGACCTTTACTGTGAACTCTGTTCAAACATGCAGACTTTAGACAAGGCACTTGTTAAGGGTGGGAGTGTGCGAGGGTGGCTGTGAGGGTCTCAACATGGAAACTAATTTGGTCTGTTTCTAGTAGCTGGCTGAATGTATCAGTTTGACCTCCGTGGGAGTGTTGAGCCTTCCTTAGTGCTTCATTAAATTACTTTGCATTTTAGGCAGTTCCCATGCTGCACAGGGGTCATTACTACTACTACTACTACTACTACTACTACTACTACTACTACTCTCACTCTGCCCCTCCCTCTAAAAGATCTCCTGTTTTAAAAAAACCCCAGTGCTCTTTTTGCTTGTTCTCATTTAATAAATTGCACCTACTCAACCATCCACAGACAAGCTTTCCTTGTTGCTATTTTAAATGGTTTAAATAACCAGTTTAGATCCTTTGAAATAGGGGTTCTGTGGAAAAGCTACAAATAAACAATAGCTTTCCCTTTGTAAACAGCCATTTAAAAGGCCTCAGCTATGAGAAAATAAAATTTATTTCTGACTGCATTGATGAGCTAATGGYTGGTCCGAGCAAGTCCAGGAACACGGGATTGTTGCTGTTTTAAAATGATTTAAATTTCAGGGCATTTTATGCGTGCACGGTTTATAACCTTTATGTATCCATTAATTTTGCATTACAAAATATTTATTCAGAGTTCAGTCAATGGTTGCATGATGTTTGTGACCAGACTACCGCTGGTTGCGCAATAGTCTTAATTTTGGCCCTCATACCGCGCCATACAGACAAACTGGGAAGCCAAGGAAAACACTGACAGGACATAGACGCAAAAGCTAAAAGTGAAAAAAAAAGCAGTACATAAAAGTATAAACTTAAATATTCTGGCAGCAATGGAAATAATGCAAGACCAAACTGAAAACACAGAATGCTAGAGGTGTTCTTATACCACAGGGCATCATACCAGTATTTTTAAAAGTACTCATACTTATTTAAAATGCCTCGATACCCACCAATACTAATACTGGTTTGTGGTTTCGATATTCGTTTACATGTGTTATAGTTTATATTTCAAGTGAAAAGTTTGAAAGAAAATCATATTTATTACTTCAATTATTTGAAAATATTTCAACAGTATATATTATACTGTATATTTAATTTGACCCAGTCAGAGGGCTGTAGGCCGATAACAAARGAGAAACACCTTGTTCTAAATAACAGAAATGTGTTTTAAAAGTCGTTGTGTAATGGTTAGGTTTTAAATCAGTAAGAACTCAGTATTGTTTCTTGGTATTGACCAATACCCAAATTGAAGTTCTCATACTCGGTTTGACAAACTTGGTATCAGGACACACCTATGTAAGATGACAATTCTGTCCAAACTAAATTGGAGGGTAATTATTTGATAATATTGATTGTTTAAAAACTTTCCACAGACTCACACTTGGAAAGATTTGAACTATCTCTTTAAAAATTCACAGTTTACGGAAAAACAACAATCTCAATTGGCTATTTCATGCTTTATAACAAACAGTTCCTTCTTCTGTTTTCAATTTCAGGAAAGGAAGTCTGCTGTATTTCATACAGATTAGAAACATCCTTCTTAAAAAAAACAGTTTCACGTTACGTAATTTTTGATATTTATGGCCGTATTTTTGAAGAATCCATTTTGAGGCAGTGACCTGTGAACTTTTGTTTCGGTGTCTCAGAGAAAGGGTCACAGCTGTGAGAGGGCAAACCCAGCTTCATATTCTCCTCCCTTCCTGAATTGAAAACCAGATCGCACGAACTCGTCATTTTGATACTTTTTTTGTTTGTACACTTATAAAGTAGCTGTCAGAGAGWTGGACTTTTTATCTAACTATAAATTACAGAGGGCTGCAAAGATCCTTTCATTACTAATGTAAAGCTTGCAGAATCACTTTTAAATGTTGTCTCAAAATGTTGGTTTAAAAAAACCCCGTAAATAAATCTTTCTGGTTTTGTTCTGATAAGCCACGTCTCATTTACTGGCTTTTGAGGTTTCCCCGCGTTTCAATCTTCAGCTCAGCTTCTCTGATGTGGTGATTATTATTCTGCCGTACTCCCTCCCAGTTTTAGCCTCAAAGGCCCCAGACCGAGTTCACTTCTTTATTACCCAGTGACCAACCACAGAGCCAGGAGGCCTTCTYCATGGTGATGGAATGCCACTCTGCCTCGGCGCCGCATTGTGATGGTTTCTGGAGTGAACCGTAATGAGGGCAACTTGCTGCCTTGTCAGCCTGCGAATGGGTAGAGAAAGCAGGTCAGTGGGGAACGAGAAACAGCTTAGTGGATTTTAAACGGAGACACATTTGTCCAGCACGAGGAAGACGTGTCCATTCTGATGCAGCGCGGGGCGATGTAGCCCCTCTCCACTGTTTCCACTTTAAACTGAAGGTCAATGGAGCGACGTCATGGAAAATGTAAGCTGATTCAAATTCAAATGAGTCTGAAATATAAACAGACATGGTGTGTCAGAGTGTGCGTGTGTGTGTGTGTGTGTGGGAGGGGGGATGATCAAAAAAGTACAAGCCAAGCATTTATTAGGATATGGCTTTAAACACCACCATGTGTTGGTGCAACTGTGAAAATATCCTGTCCGTCCTGTTCCTGCTCCTCTGATAGATATCTAGCAGAAGCTCTTACAGAATATAAGACGGTGGCCGTATAAAGAGGGGGAACTGATCTTTAGCCACGTTGCAGCATGTTGACACAGCTGCAGCAGACTTTACGTTTGAACCTTTAAATATAATGAGGACCGCTGAGCATTTGAGGGAAAACACACAAACGTGCTGCGGTTTWCTTTTTTGGGCCCACACGGTCCGCTATCGGCGCTCACCATACGAGCGTACTGTACGTTCTGTATCTGCGTGTTGTCCTGATGCATCTCAGTAATCCAGGTAAAAAATCAAAAAGAAAAAAATTGTATAGGTCCCCTGGACGGGTTCTTCTCTAATGAAAYGTTTCGTCTCTCCTCCAAGAGACTTCTTCAGTCTGAGTTTCAGGCAAAATTCAGGCTTTTAAGCACTGCCTCCATGTGACTGATACTCACATCACATGGATATCGTTGACACCTAATTAACACCTATTGTTAACAGGGGGTGGAGTGATACTGGCAATAGCAGCACTGTAGGAGGGGGACAATCTGTATCTGCGTGTTGTTTTGTCTGATAAAACGTACATTTTTTTCCCTCCTCTTTTCTTCCTTTCTGTCCACATCAGCCTTCTATCTTCCATCACCTACCCTCCAGCGTCAGAGGCGGGGCACCCAGAGAGCTACATTTCTGCAGAAAGTGAAGGAGAGAGAGGTGAGAGGAATGGGAAGAAGGTGTGTTTCAATGTGGCGGGAGACGAGCAGGAGGACTCCGGACACGACACAATCAGCAACAGAGACTCGTACAGGTAAAACCAAAGTGAGAGCAAGAAACACTAGGACTGTCCCACGGTAAAGTTTGTTTTAGTCTAATCTCGTGATCTCAAGTTTTACTAGAAGTTTTAAATGTATTCACACTAATTACTTAAGTAGAAGTATAGATACTAGTAGCCTGGTAAAAACAGCCCCTTGTTCTTCGCTTTGCTTGGTACAAAGGGTCTGGAACCTCGGCTGTTGAGAAGCAATTTCTTGCTGGAGGCGTGGACTCTGTTGAAGTTTAAAACGATTGGATCTGACTTTACCCAATCGCTAACGTTTGGCCGTGACGTGTGTAGCGCACCAGCTCGACTGTGAAGGAGGCTAAGCTAAGAAGCTAAAAATGGGATAATCAGCACTCCAAAAAATACTGTTTTAATAAGGCTGTTGACGACAACAAGTAGCCGAAATGCGTCCTGTTTTCTGCCCTTATTAAAACAATAGTACTTTTTGGAGTGCTGGTTATCCCATTTTTTTGATCCTTCAGAACCAGGCACCCATTTACTCTCTTTCCCTTTTTATAAGGAAATTTGAGTTGTGCGCACTAAAATTTTTTTCTTATTAAGCTAAGAAGCTAACCAGAAATTGCATGTGACGTAAACAACCATCTCCTACTGGGAAGAGAGAGTTACAGAGCCGAACGAGACGGCTGTAAATGAGAGCCGCAGTGTTTGTGAGACAACTTTAATTTAATTTAATTTGGAAAACTTGTCAACACGGACTGGCTTCATTCACTTCCTCCACCGCCATTACTAAAGTACAGCCAGACTAAAACGGCGCAGAAAATCAATGTCGTTTACAACTCCTCCTTCTGTTCTCTGATTGGCCTGGTTGAAATTCTACAGGAGAAATCCAAGTCCATGGAGGAAAGCCCAGACGGAGCAGAGAAGGGAATTTAGAATTGAGCAGAATTCTGAAGGCAATGGCCRGGCTAAGATACTATGGTTTAAAAATACTGGTTTACAGGTAGAAGTATCAACTTGTGTTTTTAACTCAAGTAAAAGTGTAATAAACGTACTGGTTTTGAAACTACTTAATTGACAAGCTGGGATACCTTAAAATGTAAGGAGAAGAAAGGTACATTGGCTGAAAAAAAATCACTCCATTAAAGTATAGATAACCAGAATTTCAACTTAAAGTAATGAAGTACCGTAGTTGTACTCCATTACTTGACACTCTGCCATATTGCAAAATCTTGCTTTGTTGATTTTGATTAGCTTTGTTGTAAATTGAGTTAACCCTAAAAGTTAATCCGTTGTAGATGTACCTAAATATGTTGATTACTTTCTGTGATTATGTAAAAAATGTCAGTGGGTTCATGAGATGTTTTGCTAAAAGACAAGCAAGCACGTCGACATGGGCAATTAAATTATGAGAGAAATGACAAGCAATGAGGAAAACATTTTGTTTTCTTTGTGCTTTCAAATGACTTCATGTATATTTCGTGTTTGACGGTCTTTTGTTCTCTTGTCAGCGACTGTAACAGCAACAGGAACTCCATCGCCTCCTTCACCAGCATCTGCAGCAGTCACTGCAGCTCCTACCTTCACAGCGACGAGATGGACTCAGGTGCACAAATACGACACAAACATCCCCAGATAAACATGAAAGGATTGTGTTTTCTGTGTTGTATTTAAATCAATAATTGGACATAGTCGAACAATGATGGTATGTTTCCCATGTTCGGACTGAATAATTGTACAGTGGGAAAAAAAATCATGTTAATTTATTGGTAAATATCTTCTTTAATGTTTAAAATTCAGCTAGATGAACTTTAATGCTTTTTCATTAGCTTGGATATTTTTCTTGCCATCAATAATGATGCAAATTAACCACCTCACGTACATGCTGCATCTATGTGTACGTTTTTCTTTACACTGAGGAATCCTTTGATATGAAGCATTAAAAATAGTTTGTCAGTATGCTTGTTCGTCACAGTAGCGYGTCTGCAGTTAATTTTGACCAGTTTTAATGGYGTTTCTGCAGGAGATGAGATGCCCTCTAGTGTGTGGCTGTCCCATGACAAGCAGAAGAAACTTCAAAGCTTTCTGGAGCATCTGTTTAGCCAGGTGAGTCAACATAATACTCCGACATTAATGGGTAATGTTTTGTTAAAGATCAGCCGTTTATTGAAACCTTTCTGTATAGAAAACATAACCTGTAATAGAATTTTCTCTCCAGCTAGAAAAGGCCAAATTGGAAAAGACTTGATGATTTTTCTAAAATTTACAGCACAGATCTACCAGACCTGACTGCATACACACACACACACACACACACACACACACACACACACACACACACACACACACACACACACACACACACACACACATGTTTGTTTTCATGTGCTCATAGGGACGCTCAGTTGACTTGATTTATTTGTCAATTAGCCAAAGTTTACCTTTAAAAGCTAGGAGCCAAACCCTAAACCAGTGGTTTATTGAATTATTATCTGTCATGCCCCCCCTAAGGAACATAAATCCTTTCCACCCCCCAGGATTGAAATAGTATTGGGAGAACCTGATGAAATTTAATTATTTATACAAACCACTGTATTTGTTTCCGGCACCATCATTCTGCATATAATCACCTGATAATGGTAGGGGAAACAGAACATTATGTAAAAGAGCAACAGTTATATTTTTCTTTTAAATTAGTTTATTTTGCTGCATTGAATCAGGATTTTAAAATCTAAAATTGATTTTATATATGTTTTCATAACAAATTAATAAAAAAATTTGTTTAACTTTAAGATACATGAGGTACCTTGGTTTCTGTGGTTCTCCTTCAAGGCCAGTGAATTCTTAAAAAAAGTATATTATTTTAGTGCTGGTCTTAAAGGGATTGTTTAGATTGTTTGATGTGGATTTGTTGTCAACAGTTTGTAACTTAATCTAGTAGTTGAGAGCAGTAAGCAGCATGTGAAAGTTTGAAATATCAGAATAACACAAAAACACTGTTAGACTTTTACATGGAGAGTTACTGGTGACAAAGCTTTCAGCTGAAACAAACACAGACCTCCAAGATCTAATGCAAAAGAGACAGTGGTGTAAAGTTTTATAAAACATCATTTGAATGATGTCATTTGTGAAATCTTTGTGTTCAAGCTGTCTTAAGAGGTCAGACATCTGCTTTGACCTGGCTCTGACTGATGTTCTAAACTGGTGATTTGACCACTTCCTACTGCAGATAAGATACTGACTGCTGATAGCAACTCCACAGAACACCATTTGAAAAACAGTTTTTTTAAACAGAAAAAGACCAACATTTTGTCTCAGAGCGTACAAACTGTTCCTGTAAGTTATTGAACCTAATCATTAATAAAAACAACATACTTCACAAGCAGCTACAGTAAAAGGATTATTCGATCGCCAGTAAAAAGGAAAAATATTAAAAAAATATTTTTTGCTGTCTCTGCACTCTGTTTTGTCATTTGTTTTGTTGTCAGGCAGTTTCCCCTGCTTTGTTTTACGCATCGCAAAATTATTCATTTGGGTTCTCTGAGGTGGTGTGTGTGTGTGCATGTGCGTGTGTGTGTTTGTAAGACTGAGGGGAAGAATACGCAGGTGTTGGTTCTGTGTGGCGAGCAGTTTTTGCTTCCCTGCACATACTTTAAATCCCGGCCCAGCAGGAGACCGGATCATGTGTGCCACGCTGACCCGTGTGCTTCCTTCAGGTGGATTCAATCAGCAGCATGCTGAGAGGAGCGGTGGTGGCTCGGTCCTTTGAACAGACCAAGTGTTTCATGCCTGGAAGAGGAATACAAGGTGAAAAAAAAGACACATTTACACAATTAGTACTTGTTAAAATCCGCTTTTTATGTGTGGGAAGTTTTTATTTTGACATTTCAAATGTCCATTTAAAACATTCTTTTTAGTATTGACATCTCCTGGGAGAGTTCCTCCTGCTGTGTTGCTCCTGATGTGAGCCTGGGAGGAAAACGATGATATAATAGACTCTTTTGTTCAGTATTGACATTAAACAGAGCAGGCGATGAACACAAAAAGGCTGCGACTTCCTGTTGCATAATGTGATGGTAGACAAATGAGGGGAAATTATTGTGGGTGGATTCCAGAATTAAAAAAGTTTTCCCAGCCTTTTCTTCTCTCCTTACACTCCTCTTCAGTATTTCTGCTTTTATTCCTTCTTGTTTCTGTTTTAGTGTTGAAACCGAACTATTTATTAAGGTGCTCAGCCTCACTTTTAAAACTATTAATTTGCTTATTTGTCAATGAAAGCTGTGAAAATGTGAAAGATGAAGCCACATGTTCTGGTCTTTACCAAACATTTTATCTTTGCCTCTAATGTAACATTCAGTCTTGTACAAAGTTATAAGCTATWTTCTAGGAAGTATCTTCATATTTTYGCTTCATGAGTTTTGTAAAATGTGTCCTTGAGGGAAGAGTGTAACCTGAACAAAAGTGTGAACTATCATAGTGAAGTCTTTATGTTTGACCATAGACAGTCTCACATCAGTGACGATCATGTTAATACTTTCAGTCATGACAGCTGCTTATTACAATGAATCAATAAATGTCTTGTTTCAGTYGTAGTATTAGGTTAAGGMAAGTGTCTTCACTCAGACATTGTCAGCAAATTAAAACTTAATCATTAAATTAAAACCATCATAAACTGCCCGACACAACAAATCCACAATGAAATTTATTGATTACGGTAGTTTTTGCAGCCCTAATCTTCATACTCAGCTACAAATGTCTGCCTATGTCCTGCTGGAGTGGGACATGATCTGTGTCATATGCAGGTATAACAACAGGAGTAACAACTTTAAACTTCTTACATTTTTATTTAAATGTAACGAATAGAAAGTACAGATAAATGAGTGAAAATGTAAAGAATAGAAGTAAAAAGGTGGCTGAAAAATAATTACTCAAGTAAAGTATAGGTAACCAAAATTTCTACTTAAGTAAAGTATTTGTACTTTGTTACGTTACAACTGTGATAAGATTGTATGTCTTACAAGGAAAATTAGACAATATGAGACAAGCCCAAAATATTCCCATTTCCTGCCTCAAAGACAAACTGGAACTTCATTCAGGTTAGACCCATTTCTGAGGTACCAGAACCAAAGAACTGATTTCAAAAAGGGCGTGTGGAAGCAAAAATGCTTCATAATTTATCTACAAAAAGTCCAAAAGAAAARCAGTTCTGGATTCGTCTTTTCCACACTGTGAGAAATTCGGGCTATTGTATCCTTGAGGGCGACTTGACAGTGGTGTGCACTTTAAGCAAACAGCAGATTACCCAGTCGTTCTGTATGTTTTGATAATTCAAGCCTCCAGACAGCCCGACCCATTTGGCACACAGACTCCTCTCATCTCCAGCTGTCCTCAAGTGAGCGCGGATACGCTTGAACTGAAAATAGGCCTGCTTGTGTTTGTGCGCCTTCAGGAGGCACGTAGGGCCTTGATCATGGCACATCCATCTCATCTTCAGAAATGTGGGAGCTTGATAACAAAGCGAATGGGATTATCTAAMAAGTAGAGCATTTCTTCATCTGATCTCACATGCTGTTGCTTCACACACGCACACACACTATACATATATCCCATTTTAATCATTGAATCCCAGATCTGTTCTACTTTAAGTTAAAGTTTATTATAAGTCTATTTGTAGAGGAGTTACATAACGGAGAGTTTTCCCCACTCTCGTATCATGACTRTAAAAACAAACAAACAATAAATAATTGAACCGTAGCGGGTCAACAACTGGTGTTCTGCTCATAAAACAAAAGGAGATTCATATTTGGACGAAGAGCTAGCATGACAGCGACTGCAGTGAAAATAAAAAGAGCGGGCTGTTGTTACGCAGACAAATGGGCACAAAGAAAGTGAGTCAAATAGTTAAAGTTTAAATATCTGAGAAGGTGTTTTAGATGCTGTTAAACTATGAGTAGAATTTCCTCTGAAAGTTTAGGTTTAAAA